CACACACACACACACACACACACACACACACACACACACACACACACACACGCACACGCACACACACACGCACACACACACAAATGTTCTAGCAAATGCACCTTTCATGGTCTCATATCCTCGACAAGGAGGGGGACATCAAATGTATTTTACTTGGAGAGCAGTACAAACAGAAACCCACCGGCACTCACTCTACAGGTGTATTTACAGACCACGAGTTCTCACCTCTTTCAGGCTGAGGATGGTATGCTCAACATCCTCCAGTCTGGCTGGAGACCAGGCCAGAGCCATTTACCTTGGAGTCTTCTTAAACCATATACGGTTAATCCAAAAACATCAGCTCAGTCAACCGAAATAAAATAAATACCTGATTTCTTTTCTCTTTTATTTGGGCAACCTCTTTTAACCAAAAACCCAGCTAAACCCAAAATATCCTGCAATTCTGAAGATTCCCGTTTTAGTGGACTCCACTGCATCATTACTAAACCTCCTTTCAATGAGGGGGGACAAAGCATATGCACTATACAACCATCTGTGTAAGACAAACGAACACTTCCTATTTCCCCCTTGAGGTTTTTTTATCATTATAGTGGCACTGTTTAAGAAGTCCACCTGTCTAAGACGGCCATTTTCTCCTCGACAATGGGAGGCTGTCTTATACAACTTCCACTGTATTTACCACAAGTTCTCACCTCTTTCAGGCTGAGGATGGTGCGTTCAATGTCCTCCAGTTTGGGCGGAGACAGGGCCAGAGCCAGGAGAGCTTTGGGCTCTCCCATGTCAAACAGCTTGGTCTTCAGGATCAGACCCTCCAGAGGGGATCTCTGTACATTCACAAGCAAAATATACACACTTTTTAATGTAGAGAAACCAAACAAATCAAGTTTTTCTATTGTCTTATACAGTCAGTTTAGATAAACTAGACTCCAAGAACATAAGAAAAAACCCTTCAGTTCCTGAGAGATTCAACACAAAATAAAATGTAAAAGCTGTCCAGGGGAAGCAATACCATTCTGAAGAGATAAGCACACCTATATCTTTTATTGATATTTGAAAAGGTCAAAAGCCAGTTGTTTTTTCAAAAAATTTTAACATTTAATGTTGGCTTTAAGTGGCAGAAAGGGCAACAGAAATTACAGGGGAAAATAACCCATTCCCACATTGTTGAAATAACTTGCTTAAAGAAGTGTTCATAAAACTATTGTACCAGTGTTAGGTCGCTCTCTTTGCACAAAGCCAACACTTTATGTAATCCGGTAGCCAAAACTACAGCCTATTAACTCTACCTGCATTTCTGGAACACCATACTCAGGCAAGACAGTCTCGTAAAACCATCGGGGGACCATAAAGTACACACGACCGTTCGAAACTCTGCCCGCACGACCTGTAGAAAGTTAAGAGCAAAAGTGCACATGACAAAGTCTCTCTGAAGAGTTTCCGTTTTACATACTATCAATACAACTGAGTGGTTGTTAGTACATGAAAAGTAACACATTAATAAAAAGACATAGCACCGTCCAATCAGCCATTGTGCCAGTTACCAATAAATGATTACATTTGTCGATACAGTCAAACCTGCTCTAACAGTCACCTGTCAAAGACAATCACCTGAACAAATGACCACTTTCCACTTCCCCCTTTGCATATTTTTCTCTACATTATAATGACACAGTACAAGAAATCTGTCGGTTTAAAACAAACACTTTTCTCCTCGACAATGGGAGGGTGTCATCGACAATTTCGACTGTACTTTGTGGAAGTTTTCAGAGGACAGGTATCATACATAATCTTTTTTTCTTCTTAACAAAGCTTTCACAACAGTAAAAGGAAAACTATGCAACTTTAAAAGTTTGAGTTGATGACATATCACTATCTCGGCATAAATGAACAAAAAAATAAAACACAGGAAGGCAGATGCTGGAAGAAAGATAAAGAGAGAATCTAAAGTCTCTTTTACTAAAGAAAACCCCTTCCCTTATATGGTATAACACGGATAGGTCGAACACAAGACTCGAAATCACGTTTCCAATGAATTGTGCCTACTGTCGCGGGGTTTTTTTTCCTTCTTTATCTTTGTAAGATTTCCCTCGAACTACGGATCCCTCGAACTACCACGGCCAGTCTCGATGAATTCGAGCTATCCATGTTATACTGCACCTCTAAAAGTAAGACCTCCTGAACAGGACTAAGCAGAAAGCTGATCTACAACAGTACAAGCTAGTTTGTGTCGGAGCGCTTAATATGGAGCTTGCACTGTAAGCTTCCCGGAAAGTCGAGAATATCTCTGAGTCGTGATCTAGCGTCTGCTGGGGTAATAATAGTTGTACAGAGCATCCATCATGCCATAGGGCATGAATATGCACTATGTAAATGCAATTTTAATTTATTATTATAAGTAGTCTCTTACCTTTCCTTTGCTTTGTGTTAGCTTTCGAGGCCCATTCCATTTGCAACTGGGTGAAATTGGTCTCCGGATCACAGAAGAGATTCTTTGTCAGGCAGAAATCAACAACTGCACACAAAGAAGAATGGACATCATTGTTTATCTTCTTTTACTTGATACATTGGTCAATCCTTTATTCATCATATCTAGGCTCATGCTATTTTTCCTTTTTTTTTAAATCCACAGGACAAAACGAAATTACTCTCATTGAAGTTTAATATTTCATTCACTTAGAGCAAAGTGGAAGAAATATAGAATAATCCGTTCAATTCATTATTAATTTCTACGATTAAGTATTAAATAACAACAATTTACTCTTCTCCTTTCATCAATGTACAAAATAATATCTTCTATATACTTTAGTTCGACAAAAAGGACATAAAAAAAACCTTGCCGTTTTCTTGACTAATCTTGGGCGGAAAAAAGCAGACCAAAAAATATCACCTCACAAAGCGACCCACCATATTTGATATCTGTGACTGTGATGGAGCTCTCAGCAATGTTTGTTGAAAGAATGACCTGATGATCAAACAAAACCAAGTGATACATTCTGCATTTCATACAGACAGGACGTGAAGTTTTTTTAAAAAAGCAAAAAAAAGAAGCACATTCATTTTTTTCAACTTTTAAAAGTTTTAAAAGAAAATAAAGTGGAATCCACTTAAACAGAACACTATTAATCCAAAAACAAAGGTTCACTAAAAGAAAAGAAATCCCTGATCATTCGTCTTCTATTTGAGCAACCGCGCTAAACTGAAGACCCAGCTAAACAGAAGAAAATCCGCGGTCATGCAGATTTCAGTTTAACCAAACTGCTGTATGTTTTCAACATGCCCTAATTTCGCTCTTATGTTGTGGCACCGACAATAATCCCAAATTTTTCTTTTATAAAATGTGTTTACTACAACACAGACAAGACACCAGATCATTATTCCAATGAACCTAAAAGATTTACCTTAACAGTTCTGTTTACCTCATCAAGACTTTGTCATACAAGAAGCCACCAACTCTCCTTTCCAATATTAGCAAACAATTCTTACCGATTCATTACAAATCAACAGCACCAACTCATACAAAATGTACAACCCATGAGGTGACGTTTTGCCAAGAACATCATCAAATGCAACACCAGGGAACAGTGGCTGAATGGATGGGCAATGTGCAAAACTGGAAGAACTGTATTTGCACACATGACAGCCCCCAACTCTAAAGATGCAATAAATTCCCTGAGTAGAAGAGAACAAGTTACGATATTTTGCCTGCGAACACAACACATACCACTAAACTCCTACCTTAATAGGATCTGCAAGGATACCCCACCCGACAGCCCGTTGTGCGACTGCCAGGATGAAACAGTACCACACCACCTCTTTAACTGCCCAGCACTTTGTGACCTGCGTAGCACCTACCTACCTGCCTCCTCAGACATCAGAAACACTCTATACAGCGACAAAGCACAGCTGATTAAAACCTGTCAATTCTTTGCCATATCAACAGACCGAAGGGCTAGAACCCAAATGGCCGCTGGATCGGAAAAGTAAGTAAAGTAAAGTATGAGGTGACGTTAGCAAAACTTAGTCAAGAAAGTTAAAAACTCTTACTTTTCTGTAACCTTTCGCTGCCTTCCTGAACACCTTGCTCTGTTCTGACAGTGTGATCGATGAATGCAAAGGAATTATGGTCAAGCTGTGAAAAAGTTACAAACATGTTACCATACATTTGGCAGCATAAAAAACAAAATAATGATGATAATGAATAATAAATAGCAATTTATAACGCACATTCCTGTTCAACAGCAAGCTTTATGCACTTTACAATCTAAAGCAGACCCTCAAACATTCAATAACATACTCAGCTTCCTGAGAAGCACACAGTACAAGCAAGTGATTAAGCGCTCAAACACTAACAAACAGACAAAATCTTTCGCTAGCTCTCATGAAACTCTCACATCAAGAGTCAGCTCGCTCATACATATAAAACAATAAGCGTACAAATAAAAGCCTTTCCAACATAACAGATCTGAAGGTAGCAAAACTCATGAGCATTAGCTTGGCGCACACACTGATTGCTCCTCAGCATAAACGAAAATTCAGCAACATTCACATAATATATCTGGCTACTCCTCCAAGCCTAATCTAAAAAACAACATGACAGTTCACTACCTCAGAATTACAAAGTTCCATATGCTCAGTACCGAGTTTTGAGAAATTTGACATAAAAAACTTCGAGTTTCAGAACACGTCAAGCTTTTTAAAAATGCAATTCTTTGAATATCTTGATAAGGACTCTGAATATTTTTACAATTTTGATAGAGCATGTAGAACATTTGGTTTCTGACCTCATGATCTTAATAACTCAAAGCATCCATAAGTGTCAGATAGAACTTTGTAATTCTAAGGTAGCCAGTAGTTTTCCTCAAAATCATCATCACTTGCACTTACAAACTTCCATCAATAGAGCTGAGCAGTTTCTGCATTTCAGTGATCTCATGGAGACCTGGAAAGAGGAAAGTAAAGTAGCAGCATTTTAACCAGAAATTGGAGCTGAACAGAAAATATAAATTAAATATCAAAATGGCAAAGTATTGTTGATCTTATAAGGTTCATCACAAACCCAGTAGGCCTACTGAGTGGACTTCACCACTGATTACTGACATTCACAAAAAGTAAAAAAACAACAACAACCAAAACTGCTTCTCAAACATATATTCATTTCCTCTCAGCCCTCCATCACCCCAATAGCTATTCATATAACACACACCTTGACAGGTACATTTAAAATACACAAATCTTGATTGTATTTTGCACCCCTTCCAATCTTATGTCACATATTTTTGAAGATTCAAGTATAGATTGTAAATGTAAAATATGACAAAAATGTGTGAATTTAGATACCTGGTAAGAATATCAAAACTGAGCCTCTGATTGGAGCAAATGCTGTTTTTTCATCTCTCCTGAGAGAAAAGAAAGACGCAGGAATGAAAGAAAACATGAAAATGGAGTAAATTCTATATTAAGTCATAGTAAATCTTCAGTAGTACTTCATTTAATTTTAGTAATTTTTTTTTTCTTTTTCAATATTTGCCCTCAACTTCAGTGGCACCGATATAATATTTAATTCTAACATGCTATTAAACAACATGGAAAATATAGTACATTAGACTAGTTCTGGACTATGACTGTGTTACATTTGTTTCCAATAACAGCAATCAAGAGCTCATTTTGTCACTTTTAATCTTAATGTCCCAACCCATCATTAGTTTTAGAAATACTGTTAACTCTTGTCCTGCGTCTGTTCTGAGATGTGAATCTTATCAGCAATCAATTACGTCGGACGTTCCAGGCAGGCCGCCAGGGTCACTCAGTGTGTACTGTTGGTGTACAGCGCGCGCACGCGCCGGGAAACGTGTTTTTGCCATGAATACCGTGGGAGTGTGTTAATCGACGATGAAAATAACTCTATCTTTCATAGCTTTCTAATTATTAAGTGTTACAAACACATGAATAACCCCCTCTCATAATCTGATAAGACATTACGAGTAGTTACGCCCATTCGAATAACCTTTCTAGACGCTCTTGTTGTTATGAATGACCTGGGGTTCGAAAGGGGATAATATACGTCAATTTCAGAACTTTTTGTACTCAAATTGTTCTTTGTACCTGCACAATGGTATTCAAAATTATCAAATAAGCTTATTTTTTATCAGGTAGTATCATTTCATACAAAATCAAGCTCATTTGAAAGATTTTGTGTAGAAAAATGGAAGTCTTGATTCCTGACTATCCTTTCGAGCTCCTCGTGTCTAAGTGGGTCAATTTCTTCTATAATATCATTGGACGAACATCTAGAGTTACCAACTTGGTGTGTTTTGAATGAGACGTATACCTCGGTTACGAACCAACGCAGGCGGTTCAAGAAGAAGGCCACAAACGCACACAAACTCAAGCAGACTGACGCACACACACTAGAGCTACGTGAATGCGGATCCGACTCGGGACCCGAAATCAAGGGGAGATGGTGCTCGTCACACGTGCGCTGAGCCAGGGGCTAGACTGACGCGGGACCAGACGCAGGCGAGGTGCTGAAATAGGCTCATCGGGCGACATAAACCCAGGCCCCCGCAAGACGAGGGTTTAAACTGTCCAAGATCGCCACTCATTGTCACGGAGTAAAGTGGATGTCTTAGACAGGTTGATATCTTGAACAAATGTTATTATAATGTAAACAAAAACCCAGCCCACTGACAAAGTCCAGGTCCACAACCAAAGACAAATTGAGAAGAAACTGCCTACCCTTGTTCCTTGATCTCCAACAAATCAAACTCTTGTACGAGTCCGGCTGCCATCTCGTACATTCCAGGACTGATGCCAGGCTGTGCTTCTTCCACATGAGGTACCTGGTCACATTTTTTAAAAATAATAAAATATTTTTTTTAAAACATGTTTGTTGTTTTGGGCTTGAGAATCACATCAATACAAGAAAGGCCTTTTCGAGTTGGGAAAATGCACTGAGGGAAAAAAAGGAGCAAAAAAAAAAAAAGCACGCAGATAGAACAAAAGTTGGACCCACCAGTGACATCGTTCAACCATCCGCCCACAGATCTTTCCACAATGAAGAAATTCAAAACAAAAGTTGTTAGTTCTATTGACAGCACAACCACCATAACCTTAACTTATTGCTATTTCATAGGCAAGGAGGTAAAGCTATATTTCCCAGCTTCTGCACACTCATGTAAGAGACTGACCAGCCATGAATCACACATCCATTCCATTTCTGTCAACACATAAAGAAAAAGGAAGACTCATTCATTCTGATTAATTGTTTCGATAGACCTTTAATTTCGTCAAAAAGAGAACTGCCTTTTCATAAACTGAAGTGTTAGTTTTAGTTAGAGTTTTCAGGGCATTTGCAACACAATTAGGTCATACAAGTACCAAAGATTAGAGGTGTTACGAGAGAGTAACATACTAAAAAAAAGTGTTTTAAAAAGAGGAGAGATTAAGATGATTTTCATAAAGTAAACTGTAAACATCAAAACATTAACAGCACAAAGGAGCATCAACAGAGGTTGAGTTTGTTTCCTCAAACAGAAAAACAGTTGTTCGAAATCCAACACACAACAAAACTGATGGTAATAAATAAACTGCTCACCATCATACTCCTAACACAATTCATAATCTCGCAATATGTGAGTGAAAACACACATAAAACACAAATAAAGCTAACAGTTACATAGAGACGCTGGAAAGAATACTTTACTACTTCATTATACATTTTCGCTTTTAAGCACCATGAGTCATTAACTCTTGAGTATACGGAAGGCTAAAACTCCTTTATACACAGCCATTTTGTCATCCACATTGTCAGCATCACAAACTTCCCTATCACTCCACTCCTATTTAACCTATTTGCAATTGCTAAACACCAAACAGTGTAGAATTGTATGGTCCAAGGAGTAAACATGGGGGCTGGCTATAGATAAGATGAATTTGCTGAGGTTTGGAAGATTTTTGTTATGATAATAATTACCTAAGTGATTCTAAAAGTCAGCTGAACTGGCGTGGCGTATACTAAGAGTTAAGACAATCAGTACAAGGACATCCTGATTCATGCTGTTTTAAAAAACAAAACAATTAAAGAGATAAATGAGTAAAAAAAATGCACAAACTGAACAGACCTCTCCGAGCTTCGATACGAGGTCATCAGCAAAGAATTCTGGGACATGGTGCAGCACGGTACCCACTGTGACCACGGGAGCTGGCTCCAACTGATTCTTCACCGGCAAGGCAAAGTACTGAGCAAAGGCGCTTGTGTCAAAGGTCGCAGACATAAGGATCACCTGGACAGAAAAATGTAGTGTTGATCCCAACATACAGATCTTTATTAAGATTCTAAGGAAGATCAAAGAATTTTGTGCATGAGTGATGTTCCCTGCCAGAAGCACAATTATCTAAAGGGTGGAAAAATCTAACCTAACAATAAAATACTGTTCGTTCAAAAATGAATCTTTGAAAATGGACTTACAGCATGACAATAATGATAGTCATTATTTATAGCCATGTAGCCCCAGTAGTAGAAAGAGAGGTAAAAGAGAGAAAATAAGAAAGCAAAAACGATGAGAAATGTCTACCTTACATTACAAAAGCAATGTATCCAACTAACTGACTTAAACGTACACACAATCATAAATTAGACTCTTATCAAATCAATCCATTGTATAACACTGCCAGAATTGTTCTCATTGGCCATAGCAGAAGTCACAAGTCATCTTAAAATTTATTCCTTCTATTTTGCTTAAGAAACATGCTCCTCTGCAGTTGCATGGGTTATCGTTATCGTCAGATAGTTAAGGACGAATTATTATTATCATCATTGTCAATGTTTCATATGAAATAGGTCATCTTTAAAAAAAGAATAATAAAATAATGTCCAGATATTCATACATATAGAGCATTCATCACAACAAACCCAACTAGAGCAGAACATGCTTCACCTTTACATGGCGAGAATTTGACCTCAAAAGTTTCTTCACAATGAGCAGGGCAAAGTCAGTCTCAATGTCTCTCTCGTGCACCTGAGGAAACAAAATGAAAGAGTAAGTATCTCCTTCAATAAGAGACATAAAATAGGGGCTTCATAGAAAAGTATCCTCAGCAACCTTCAACCTTTATTATGACCAAATAAAGTCTATAATTTTTTGTTTTTTTAAGGGGCCCGATGAAGTACTCTCCCATTAAGGACATTTCCTACAGTTTTTTTTCTGACTTGCAGTCTGTATTTACAAGGAAAGAAGATGGTCATGGATAGGAAACAAAGCCTTAGACGGAAACCCCAGGGGAGGAGGAAGAGATCTGGGAACTAGATCTGGAGGCAGATCTCAGGCATATAGGATACAGCTGCCAAAGGTTGAGAAGATCACCCTGATAATATGGGAGGTTGAGAAGATCACCCTGAACAGAGACAGGTGGAGGGCCCTTCTTGGTGGCCTACATCCAATACCAGGGTGAAAGAAGCAGATGGTGATGGTGATGGTGATGATGATGATGATGATGATGATGACAATGACGATGACGATGATGATGATGATGGTGATGATGATGATGATGGTGATGATTATGATGACGAATCTGTGTTTACAGGTTAAAGAAAAGTTAATACTTTTGCTTCCTTTACACAGCCAGTATCAAAAACTGAGAAAAAGAAGGAGAAAATGGTTAACATTGACCAGCCAATGCAACACATGTTACAAAATGAAGGAAAAACCATCACTGGCAACAAAACACACATCTCACCTCATCCAAAATGACGTGAGTGAACTCATGCATGTTCTTTTTCCCAATGAACTTTTCTTTCAGCACTCCTGTTGTGCAGTACAAAATCCGAGTATCTTCACTAGCTTGACGTTCTAAGCCAATCTGCAGAACAATACAAGGATGACTTAAATACATTTATAACATCAAGTAAAAGACAGGACCACATAAATACATCTATAAGATCAAATAAAAGAAAGAACTACTAAAATGCATTTATATATAAGATCAAATAAAAGACTGTATAAGCATTCTCTACATTTGTAAACTCTTCATGTGTTAAGAGATAGTAGACGGAAGAGGAATGAAAGTCAAAAGAAACAAGAGAAAAAGACTAACTGTCCCAGAATTTTAGACTGTCTAACAGCACAAACAAGAAATGACATATAATGCAGCTATATACTTTCACTTTCCATACACGTAGTGAAGAGATTCAACACGACTACCTTTGGCACAGGGGAAAAAAAAGTTCATACTCTTACCCTTACTTTTACAAACAGCAGGAAAGTCTACTACATTAGAACTAAAAGGATAAACTTTCTTTTGTGGGTGCAAAAATCTTTGTTCAGTCTCTATCCAATACGTTAAAATTCAATGTAATAAGTTCACACACCAGTAAATAATATGAAAACAAGGAAAACCTCCTTTCAGACTGATGGTAGGAATCTATGCTTAATTGGAGAAGCGACCCTTGATTTTGCTGATTTTGGGTCAGGCTACGCAAATTGAGATGTTGGCTGATTTTTTTAAATCAACCAGTTCCTTGTCTAGAAATAGCAAGGAGATAATTGAGAAAGTCTTTATTCTCCTCGTAAATTGCCTTTGAAAACATGATGGTGGGTTAATATAGTGAATTTTCACAATAATTGTCATTTTTCTCAAAATGTCATATTTTTGCAATTTTTTCCCTACCTTAGTTTTCATCCTTTTGACATGAGACTTTCAGGAAACATATCAATGTAACAGAAAGACATTTGTGAAAAAAATAACACTTTTCCATTGGTAAGTGATTTCGCAATCTAAATTTAGGAAAGGTTTTTTATACATTGGGACAGTGCTCATATTTTTTTTTCCTTTTGCACTTATTGAAAAAAACTTGCTGTTACGCTGATAGAGTCTGGTTCAGATATACTGTCACCCTATTTGGTCAAATTTGGTTAGTAAATAAGAAAGCCTTAGGGATTTGAAATTTATTGTTTATTTTCAAGATGGCGGCTGTTTCCATAACAACCGCTGTAGCTGTGCCAAAATAAAATTGCGTATCAAGAGATTTTCCTATGCCCAACTTATATGTGTACTTATATTTGATCTCGCGCAACAAACATAGAAAATGGTCTTCAAGGGTCGCTCCTCCCATTAAGATAAGATAAGATGAGACAAAAGATAAGATACCTCTTTATGGTCCAAATCTAGGCACATTGGTTTGGTATTTCACGCACGCGCGCGCACACACACACACGCACGCGTGCGCATGCGCAGGCACGCACGCTCACACACACACACACAGATAAGCACACATATGCACACCCAAATACACACAGCGTTAATCTATGGAGCACATGTATTTTATGTTAAGATGAAGGTATTGTAAAGCACCTACATCTGTATTGTACAGGGGTGGAAGAAATTATTATTACTATTATTATCAAACCTGATATCCGCAGATAGTTCCCAGAGACCAACCGCGTTCCTCACATACACGACGGGCAATCGAAGAAGCTGCAATTTTCCGAGGCTGCGTGACAACAATGTTGCAATACCGAGATTCTTCCGCATAATGGTCCATAATAAACTGAGGCACTTGGGTTGTCTTGCCAGAACCAGTGGGCCCTTGAATGACTGTCACTTGATTGCTTTCAATGGTACTGATGATCTGATGAGTACAAAGTTATTTAGTTCTTACTGTTGAAGGGAAGCACAAGACAATGGCAGTTATGTGATACTTCAAAATAATAACCAAAATATAGATCGAGCTGAGAATAAATGAACCAATTTAAAAATACAGCTACATTTTAACAAAACTAAAAAGGAAAACCAAGATGACATTTCATCAACCAAAAATCAAGATCTCTACTAATTATAATGGAGGTCTGCTTTTCATTTGTCTGACCAGCTCAGGAATTCATGCTTACCCCCCCC